GGCCCCCCAGGGCATCCAGTTGAAGACTGAGAGGGGCACCCATCCCAGCACGGGTGGAAGCCAGGATGTGGCCATCTTTCCTGAGGCAGGTCGACCCCATGGATCTTTGGCGGCATGTCCAGATGTGCCCCCCCCCCAAGGGACTTCCTTGTGTTCCAGTCTCAGGACTGTGTGGTCTGGGCCTGAGACTTTTGCCTCAGGCCGGCAGAGGGGTGAGGCCCAGGCCCTGCCAGGGGCCATAACGGTCAGCTGAGAGGCCAAGTAGGGGAAGGCACAGGCCGGATTAGTGGAGGACCGCACGGGGTGTGGCCCAGAATCTCCTGGCAGTGCTGGGGGTTTGGGGTGGGGAGGATGCCCAGAGTGTGCTTGCAGCCTACACACCCGCTGAAGAGCACCCTCCCTCCCTCCTTCAGAGGCGACGAGCTCTGGAGTTGAGGCAGGAGTCCTGAGGTCACAGAGGAGAGGAGGTGCAGACTGGTGCCGGCCAGTTGTCAAGGCGAGGTGCATGCTGTGTGTGTGGAGCCGGGGGCTCGCCCATCCCACCCCAGAGGGGACCCCTCCACCCCAAACCCCAACCTGGCCCCGCTCTCAGGTCAGGGACCTCGGGCTCTGTGGGCTGGGCTGCCCCCTGAGGAGCCCCCTCCTTTTCCTCAGGTTCTCACAATCATCATGCCCCTGCAGCAGAGGAGTGAGCACTGGACATTGGAAGAAGACCCAAGACAGGCAGAGGTCCCGGTGGATGCACAGCCTTCTGGGGCTGAGGATGGGGAGGAAACCCCGTCTCCCTCCTCCTCCTCCTCCTCCTCCTCCTCCATAGCTTCCCCTTTACCCCCTCCTTGGCAGCTGCCTTCTCCTCCTCCGCCTCCTCCACCTCGTCCCCCTTGATCTCCTCCTCCTGCCTCTCCTGTTCCCAGTCCCCTGGAGGAGGGGTCCGCTGCTGGGTCCCTATGTCCCGCCCCGTGCCCTCCCCAGAGCCCTCAGAGCACCTGGCCCTTCCCAGCTGTCATGGCAGGTGCTGCAGGGAACCGGTCTGATGAGGAGCCCAGCAATCCAGATGAGGAGGGGTTGAGCCCCAGGGGGATCAGGCAACAGCCCAGCCCTTGCTCCCAGAGGCACTCAGCATGAAGGTGTCTGACATGGTCGCATTCCTGCTCCTAAAGTATCGCACATAACAGCCGCCCCCCACCCCCTCCCCAAGCGGAGATACTCTCCGTGGTCAGCCAAGATGTCCCGGACCAGTGCCCCATGATCTTCCGCCAATCCTGCCGGTGCCTGCCTGCAGCTGGTCTTTGGTGTTGACGTGAAGGAAGTGGACCCCGGCGAGCACTCCTACGTCCTGGTCACCATCCTCGGCCTGACCTGTGATTGGGTGCTACTTGGCAAGCAGGCCATGCCCACTACCAGCCTCCTGGTGGTGGTCTTGGGAGTGATCCTCCTGGAGGGCGAATGTGCCCCTGAGGAAGAGGTGTGGAAAGTGCTGGGGGTCCTGGGGGGGGTGTGCCGGCAGGGAGCACTTATTCTATGGGGAGCCCAGGGAGCTGCTCACCGATGTCTGGGTGCAGGATGGGTACCTGGTTTACCGGCAGGTGCCTGGCAGCGAGCCCGCACGCTACGAGTTCCTGTGGGGTCCCAGGGCCCACGCGGAGACCAGCAGCGTGCACGTGCTGCAGCACATCCTCATGGTCAGTCGCAGGCGGCTCGGGGCCTCCCTGTCCCCGTGTCACGAGGCTGCCAGCAATGAGGAAGAGCGGGCGTGAGCCAGAGGGCAGCCAGGCCCTTTCTGCCCAGGGTCCAGCAGCCTCCCCTGAGGGGCAGGAAGCCAGGCCGCTTCTTCCCTGTGCCTGGGAGCAAGGAGGGCACAGGGCGCTGTGAGTAGGGGAGGGCCAGGGCTGCTTGGGGAAAGTGGGGCCCACAGCACGTTTGGGTGGCTCCCTGTTTGTTCTCTGTCTATGTGACCTCGGAAATCCATGTTTGTTTCCTTGAGGAAGCTTTCCCATGTTGTTCCTTGTGTTAGAAGGTTTCTGGAGCTTCAGTGGCTCAGTGTGTGAGTGGCATCCAAGCCACAGCTCTTTGTGCTTCTCCAGTTCAAGAGTCAGAGTTTTGCCGTTTGGTGCAACAAGCTGGGACACCCCCATCCTTGTCTGGGATCCAGAAGGGAATCTCAGTGCCTGGGCTGGGCACAGGGATTTCTTGGAAATGTGGAAGACCTTGGCGGTAAAGTGTCAGGGTCAGGAAAATGAGAAATAAAAGATGTTTGGCTTCTTATCCCTTGCTGTCTGTCATTCTGTAGAAGTGACGTGACATAGGTATGTGTGCCTGCATTGGCTCCGCTCACCACGAAAGGAGCAGCCAGTGGATCTGGGCACAGAGGACCCCTGCTTACTGGTCCATTTGTTGCCAGATATTCTCTGAGCTCTGCTCGCTCTCGGAAGGGCCCTGTGTTAGCAGTGAGGACACTAGGAGAGGCAGGGCACGCCCCACCCGTATGTGACTGTCTAGCAGCAGCCTTCCCAGTGGGAAGGTGGGGAGGGGTCCCCAAGGCTAGCCGAACAAGTGAAAGAAGGCTGAGGCAGCGGGGCTCCAGGGGCGGGCCCTGCAGTGGGGATGCCCCTCCTGAGGCAGGCTGGCCTGGGGTCTCTGGTCAGGGGGATGCCTCCTGGGCAGCTGATGACAACGAAGCTGAATGTTGACAGTGGCCAGGCCCACAGATGGTGTGCCTTAGGGGTGCGAGCAAAATCTGAAACAGAAAATGGCTCCGAGAAATTCCTTTTAGATCATGAGCAAACCAAAGAGAAATCTCCTCCTGTGTCAGGAAGCGAAAGGTACAAGCACTCGTGTCCCCGTGGAGTTGAACACAGTGCACAGAATAGATGTTTTCTACCCATCATCTGCAAGGATTTCTGGAGAAATACTATGGTATTCCTTTAAAAAGTTATTTTTAATGTGTCTTTATTCTTTGATAGAGAGCTGACGAGCAGAGAAGGGTCAGAGAGGAAGGAGACACAGAATCCGAAGCAGGCTCCAGACTCCGAGCCGTCAGCACAGAGCCCGACGTGGGGCTGGAACTCAAGAGCTGCAAGATCATGACCTGAGCCGAAGTTGGACGCTGAACCGACTGAGCCACACAGGCGCCCCTATAATGGTATATTCCTTTAAAGTGGAGCCCAGAAGGTCTAGACTGACACTGTTGTTGCTGGCCATGGCAAACCATATCTCAGTGCATTCAAAAGACATTTTAATTTGATTATTTTGAGTGTCATTGGACAGCTGTAAGCCAGGTCTAGGTTTTGGTCCAGGAGAATGAATGAAAGTAGTGGTTTGGATGGAAGAGCATGTGCACGGGAAGGGAAGAAGTTGGTCTTTGATTCAACTTCTAGCAGCTTCGTGTTGTTTCCAGCTGGGATAACTCCCCCACAGTCACATTCCTCACATATTCTCATATATTCCACATATGTCCTCTGCCTTCGAAAATGAAATGGACCTTGGGGACCCTGGGCAGCTCAGTCGGATAAGCGTCTGACTTCCACTCAAGCCATGATCTCTGTGCTGCAGCTCGGAGCCTGGAGCCTGGAGCCTGGAGCCTGCTTTACTTTCTGTGTCTCCTTCCTCTCTGACCCTCCCCTGCTCGTGCTCTGTCCCTTCTCTCAAAAATAAAGAAAACGTTTTTTGTTCATTAAAAAAAAAAAAGAAAGTAGATCGAGTTGTATTTATGAAGCATCCTCTTTGGCTTATTAGCTGTTCCGTGTCCTATTGAGCTGCATATTCTCTAGCGTGAGCTGGAAACAGAGAATATCCCATAGGAGAGAGTAGAAAGGTCTGGGATCAAACCGACATTAGAAACACCTGCCATTCATCAACGTTCTGATATATGCCCAGCACACTGTGCAAAGTTCTTTACATACATCACATACATTCCTCCAGTCCTGCAAGACGGGGCTTATCCAACCCGCTTACTTCACAGATGAAGAATCTGAGGCCCACAGGACTTGGTCGTTTTCCCAAGATCACACGGCTAGTGACAGAGCAGAAACCAGACCCACTAGACCCCGGGTCTGAATTCATGTAGAGTCCCCGCTGTTCTCACACACCCCAGCCTGTGGCCACCTTCTGACTCCTACTTCATTTGTCTTCTTGTTACCATGTTATTTCCCAGACGACAAAGAGGAGGACTCTGAGGTCCAGGGAGCTAAAGCAGGCCTCAGGAAGAAAGGTGACAAGAAGAAGGAAGCACAATTTGGGGATTGAGTCCTGTTCAGAGCAGACTCTGCGAGGTGCCGCCATTTCTGTCCAGTCCCCACACTTTCCCACATGACAGCCCCTCTTCCCACATGTGCCCTCCTGTCCATCTCTGGAACGTTGTCTGCTGGCCGGCTCATCTCTGCCGCCTCCTCTACTGGCTGCACAAGGGCTTCATGCCCTCCCATGACATGGAGCAGGCCTACTCCCTGCCCAGTTTCCGTGGCTCTCCTGGAACTTACCCTCCAACCGCTCTGACAGCTAAAGCTGTTTTGATGGAAAATGGGACTTGGACTGTGACCTTAGCACACTTGTTCATCCTCCCCAGGTGGTCTTCGATCCACTCTCTGTTTTCCCAATGGGCTGTGAGGAATGTCTCATTGCACCTATAACCTTCCAG